ACACTCATAGCAGTATGTATGTAGAGGATCACTTGACACTGAGCCCGGAGGATGCAGTATCATATGACACTCATAACACTAAATATGTAGAAGGATATTCACTATAAATCATAACATTTGGCCCTTAGAGATCAGTATCATATGACACTCCTAATAGTATATGTGTAGAAGATCACTTGACACTCAACCTTTAGGGAACAGTATTACACGCCACTTTGACAATGTGGTCTCTCCAAGATTTCCACTTTAGATCATGATACTGAATCCTTAAAGAGCAGTATCATGTGTTTCACTATTCTGCGTATCAGTCTTCGTGATATAATACATATATCAATTTCATAGTTACTATAGATTAGTGAAATAATGACATACTTACTGCGCATAATATATAGTGAGAAAAAAGTGGAAATCTTGGAGAGACCACATTGTCAAAGTGGCGTGTGAAATGATGGTGATCTGGTAACCTACAAAATACTAGATTTCGGTTCTGTGAATCTAAAGGAGGTGAGAATTTGATAGGTTGTTATGTAAGAATTCATAGCTATCCAGTGGGTCTCAAAATGTATTATTAGCAATATAAGAGAATTGAAACTTCACCTACCTACGAAACGTGCTCTAGCTATTGTAGAAACTTCAAACCAATTTGACCAGATGCAGGATACCGAGAGTTTCAAAACAAGCCAAGGTGTAAAGTATTTGGATCACAGGAAGCCGGAATAGCTTTGAAAGTTGGGAAAATTTACTGTGCCACATCCAGCGCTGGGGTTAGAAGTTCATTGTGAATCGATTTGCAAAATGTAATACTGTGGAACTGTCACTTCCAGATGCTATAATCATCACAAAACATAGAACAAATATGGCAACTCTAATGTCTATTAATTTGCTGATTTTGATTCAGCCCTTTTTCTCATATTTATTCGAAAAAAAATAACCCTTGTCTTCTCATAAATTCAAAGCCAGAAAATCCTGCCTTCTCAGGAACCTAGCATGGTTGAGCGACAAGATTCTTAGGGGGAAATAATTCGCAATACTATCTTGGGCAGATAGGGTATCTCCTGCAGATGCATAGCATCAAAAGGGGGAAATAAACATATATGATAATTCTCTTAGCTGGATATTGGAGATATGATAGGACTCATTATTGGTGATGTTTTCCTTTCGTATCTTCCATCACGATAATAATATCCTCCATCATAACCACCGTATCTATTATCATACCTATCATCATCATCTGATCCATATGGCATCTCTTCTTCAGAATCATTGTCATGACTACAATCACTATCATCATCTACCACATCTGATACCTTTGGAATCTCTTCATTTGCCTCTTTCACTTCCTCATCTTCAGAATAAAAATACACATCATCATCATTGTCTGTCTTAGCAATTATTGCAGACTTTTTAGAATCCTCCTCGCTTTTGGCTGAATCATTCGCTCCTTCTTCCTTAAAATAATCTGTAATATCAGATGTGTCACTAAAATTATCATCTGAGGAATCATTAGCTGAAGTAGTAGCCACTGTCTCAGATATTTCGTTTACAGGACTAGTGGTTGTTTTCATTTTGACCTGTTCTACGATGTATTCGATTTGAGGATTAGTGAGTCTTGAAATTTTGTCAGCGCTACAAGTGATCCGCTGAACCATATACCCTGGTATACCATCAATCCTTTTCAGAGTTACAGGATCATATTCATAGCCAAATAGCTTATTTATTTTTCTTGCCTTAGAGGTTATCACACGTAAATATCCATCAGAAATACCCGTAAGATATGGTTTCATTTCAGCGTAAATTTGTGATCTTGCAGTCTTATCTGCAAGTTTCTTATCTTCAGACCTAAGCTCCACAACCTTATCTTCGAACTTTTTGGAGAATAAACACCATAATGTAATCTCTGATCGCTTTGCTACGATCGTTTTATTTCTTGCAACATTCGTCTGGCAGAATGAATTGGCAAGTTTTTTGATGCTTAATGATCCTGAAACTGTTTTTAGGAGAAGAAAACTTTATAGTCTGGAGTGGGTCATTATCCGAGAGTAGCTCTTCCAATAACCCTTGTACGAATTCGGTTACTATACTTGGTACTACCACCAATTTATCTTGATGGGGTCCCAAATGGACCTGGTCAACCTTGCTCTTGATTTCTTCTGAACTTTCTGAAGTGTTCTGAACGTTAACATTTTTAACGGTTTCCACGATTTCTTCTGATTTTTCTAAAATGCTCCGATCGTTAACATTGTTAACAGTTTTTATATCACATGCTATTTTCGAATCTACAATAGGGTTGGCACCTTTCTGGGCTTGAAGCTGTGAGTTATCTTCAATGACCTCTGTTCTATGAGAGAGAGCCTCTTTGAATTCACCAGATAATTCTGAAGAAGTAGCGGAGATACTATCCTGGTTAGCTGATTCACGCTGGAGTTTCTTTTCCTTATTACATTGCCTAATCTCATCACTAACCTTTTTCTTATACGACTCGTTCAAGAAAGCATTTGTTTTTACATCATCTAATCTCTTAGAATTGATAGATTTATCACCATATATTTTGCAATTAGGCTCACTATTTGAGCTAGCTCGCTGAACTTCTTGAGAATCGAGTATGATAATAGCTGATGCCTCTACCTCTGGTATCGCTTCCTTATCTTTCTGAGGTTCTTCACCCACTACCAAAGAACCCTGTTCCACTATCGCAAGTCTAGCTTCAAGCTCTATATTTTTTTGTTCTAATTCATTAACCTTGGTATCACGCATCTTATTCTCTTCAACAGACTGTCTTAAAAGTTCGGCAACTCTGGCCTTAAGCTCAACTTTCTCAGCCCCAAGCTCATCATTCTTAACCTTAATCTCAGCAAATCTCTTCTTAAGTTCGTCAATCTCAACTAAGAGCTTGGCATTTAATTCCTTTAATGAATCGTTAGATTGTGCGTTAGACATATCAATAAATTTTATACAAAAATATGAAATATTCAAAATGAATAAAATACGTGATTTTGCCAAGAAAATCTCGAAGAAAAAAAATGAAGAGACAGATGCTATGCATGGATCAGCAAATTCTTCCGAGCTAGTGATCACCATTCTGATTAAGAAGTTCAGAAATAGCAAAGCACCTTCGGGGGAAATCGTTTGTAGTATCAATCGTACCCATAAACACAGGAAGAGGCGCAGTATTACTATATCTTTAATCGAAAAAATAGCAAAGCACCTTCGGGGAAATTACGCGATCACTGCTCTGGATTAGTTAGATCAGTAGAGTACCACCATTCTGGGGCTAATATTCTTTCACCAGCTCTATATCGCCGGCGCATACTTAGATCAGTTAGTATTCTTTCAAAATAATTCCTTGGTGTTTCTCTGTTTATAGCTATAATAGGGTTATCAGCACCAGAATCAACTGTCATAAACATACTGGAATTAGGTTGTCGAAATACCTAGTGAAACTGAGTTCTAATAACTGGAGGTCGTCTTGTTAATATCTCTACTACTCGCTCTATTTCAGCTTGAATATCATTCGGATCCCGGTAATTCTCGACATGGGTATTTGGATTTAGCTGATCTATGGCTTCTTTACTAATATTATCACACCCTTCCAGATTAAGATATTTTAAATTAAGACTCGATTTAGCAATTTCTTCAATAGTTATATCATTAATTTTACAATAGCTAAGATCAAGTCGTTGGAGTCTTGGACAAGAATGAATAACATTACAAATTGATATTTCAGAAAACTCTGTGCGATTAGAAATATTTAGACATTCTGATTTATGACATGAATCTGCGATTGCAGTTAGACCTTCATCATCTATCTCTTGAGCACGAAAGTCCCTAAAACCACCTGACCGATCATCACATAGATTGAGATACTTCATATTCGTGTATGAATCCGCTATCAGTTTTAATGCTTTATTACTAAATCTTACGCTATTTATGAAACTCAAATAGATTATATTTGGGCATGAATGTACAATGCTTATGATTTTTTTATCTGAAAGTGAATGATAGTATGATATTTCGAGATGAGTTACATTTGAGCAATAAACTGGCGTTTGCTTCCTACGTACTAGCTTTATGAATTT